ACAACATCTCTATGTTTTTGGGTTTGAATCCCAGCACTGGACTCACCAAACGGATCCAGAGTAATGCTTTGGTATGAATAAGGATTCAGGAGTGGTAGGTGGCTTATATTTTCAGTGTATGGGGCACTGACAGTGGTTTACCACTTGGCTGAAATAAAAGTTACATTAGTTGCCTTTGGCATTTGTGAAGTTGTCCACGCGTTCTCCATCAAGGAGTGGAAGTCTGTTCTCTAGTAATGCTTGGTAGGCATCCCGTACGAATGTTTTTTCCCCTGTGAAGTGCTGCCACAGTCATGCCTTGTGGACAGTTAGTTCTGAAAGTAACTGCTCCACCTTCTCTAATCCCCTGGGAAGGGGACATCTTTAGAGACAGATTTTGAATCAGCTTGGAGATGTACACAGAAAGATCCAGGAAAATCAGAGACTATAATTGACTACTGATTTTAGCTTGAATGTCTCCTGAAGGCTTAAATTGTTTATTTAGTTTTCAGCAATTCTTTTCTTTTCTTTTCTTTTCTTTTATTTTCTTTTCTTTTTTTTTTTTTTTTCCCCAAAATTGTATTATTTTTCTGAGTATCCAGAATCATTTTACGATGCCAGTGACTGGACAATAGAATGAGATGAAGCCACCACTGACTTAGATTAAAGGAGTGAGGGATTGCTGGTAGTTTCAGCAGTAGTTCAGTATGCAGCAGGATTAAGATTGGTACTTAACTAAAACTGGATATTGTTTCGAAGAACCACACTATAACTGTTTGTTTTCAAACATTTAATAGGTAGCTCAAGCTTAAAAAAATAATTAAAATAAGGCTTCTGTGAATTTATCTGTACAACAATTTCAAAGAGCTCAAGTCTGGCATCCACTAGAAGTCGAGAGTTTATCAGCAGATTGTAGGTTGATAGAGTAGGAAAGATTAAAAAAAAATATATCAATGAACATTCAAGCGTGAATGTTTTTAGCCACTGTTAGTGAACATGACAGCTGTTATGTGACAATGAATTCAAATGACGTTATATAATCTATTGTTTTTTTTCCTTTCCCTCCCCAAAGAAAAGCAAGTACACTATTAACAGTGCTATATAGCACTTAAATACAATGTAAATGTTACATATACTGTATTTAATTTTGAAAATTTAGTTTGAGAAATCTAGAGTGAGAAATATAAAACCCATTTGTAGGTCTCTTTCAAAATGCAAATTTATGTCTCGAGGGGCCAGTGGAACTTAAAATATAAATAAAGTCTGTATTTAGGGAGTTTTGAAAACACATATTACTGAATTGATAGAGCATAACAGTTCCCTTGCTTAGGCAGCATTATGCTCTATCTTGTAAAATGTACTTGGGGAGATGTAAAATGGTTTATGAAACATACAGTCCATAACTAGAGTTGTTACATTTCAATATATATATTTTTCATTCATGGATTATTGAACCACTAAATCCTAACAATTTGTCCTCATGCCAAACAGTTGCTTTGAGTGTTGATTCAGGTCTTTGCAGTGACTGTGTACCTGTTGGAACATACCTTAAATCCTCAAATTTTAAAGCTGTTTTTAGTGCCCTCCTGCATACAAATGGACATTTAAAAGCAGGCAAGGAGGAAGTTTGTGTATACTTTCACATAAAATGCTTTCACAGAAAGAAATTCATGACGTATTTCTGGGTGGGAGGTCTGCAGTTTTGAGGAGAAAATTCTTGAATGCAAAGTGCTATCTACAACCATGGGGAATATATATGAAAGAAATAAAGAAAATAACTACGTATTCTGTTGCATGAGCCATTTTTCTCAAAACTTAGGGATGGCTTGCTATTTAGAGATTGCCTTTCTCCCTGCTTTCACACGGCATATTGTTCTTTCATGCTAGTGAAAAGTTGGCAGAGGTCATAGAAAAGTGGTGATTTAAGATTTAATTCTACTTGGTGTGCCAAATGATTTCAGGGTATTAGGTTTGGACTGTATTTACCTTCCATTTTCTTCCACTGTTATTAGAAAAAACTCTAGAGAAAATGCTGACATACAAAGAGCTGAAAAGTAGGAAAGTAACATCTCTTCTCTGCATTTTCCAAGGCCCAAAATAAGTGATATTCATAGTACATAAAATATGTTTATTGATCTGAAACATCTCATTGATGTGTTGAACCAACAGCTCTCCTACATACACATATCTAGAATTTGTTATTCATCTCATGCCTGAAGAGAAACAGGAACTGAGACAATGTGTTAATGGATATAACTCTGCAGTTTAGACTTCAAGATTTTAAATGACAAAATATCTGTCTAAAAGATCTCTTACTGGTGTTGATCTTATGAACATTATTGACGAAATAACTTCCAGCAAAGGAACAAGCCATAGTATTTGTGAAATGGCACACTAAAGAGCAAAATGAATAAAATCACAGAGGTTGTCTTTATTTTTTTTCCATCAGGAAGAAGATGACTGGTTTATAGAGTAATACAGCAAATTTAGAAAGGGAATGATGTGTACTCAAAATGCGCATAATTATGTTATTACAGGCCAAAATCTCTTGTCTGTAAAGAAATAAAGATGTTTCAAACATTTTCTGAAAGAAAGGGAATTCATACAAGGCAAGTTTTGTAAGGACAATTTATCCTTTATTTTTACTTGCTGGAACTTTGCTGTGTTAGGAATACTGATTTCCATGAGATATAACCTTTAGCTTATTTTTTCTGTGATCCTCCCTTTCCTTTTTTTTTCTGTTCTCTCTGGTTGCTATTATTACAACGTTGCAGATTATTTATTCTGAGGCATTTCCATGAGTAGAAAATTTCTTAAAGAAGAGAATAGCCAAGGTACATGAGAGTTTATTTTGTTTGCTTCTGACTGAGAAATTATTTTTGAGAAATCCCTTAGGCTATAAACTCTTTTTTCAGGCTGTAAGAGTCCACACTGTCTTTGCAGGTGTTGTAGTTTTACCCTGACTGGCAGCAAAACACCACAACAACCACCCACTCACCCTCCCCACTCCCGCAGATGAGGGAGAGAATCAAAGGGCTAAAGGGAAAAGAGAAGGGTGGGTTGAGATAAGAACAATTTAATAGCCAAACTACAATAATACTAATGAAATATCACATAATAATACTAATGATAATATTAATTATATACACAAATATACAAATGAGTGATACACAGTGATAGTGCTCACCACCGAATAACCAAGGTTCAGCCCATTCTAACAATCCTGGAGCAAGGAGAGTCTTGAAACTCCAATTCCGGAATAGAGATAGGAGCCCAAGTGTCTGAGAGAATGAGATGACCCCAAGAGAGGGGTGACCCAGAGGGAGACAGCCTGGAGCAAGATAAAGAACTTGTGGACAGAGCATCATCTTTAGACTGGGCATGATCGTACATGATGTGGAATAGACTACTGGCCAATTTGGGTCTCAATCCTAGAACTAAGGTCGAATCTTAGGCTCGTAATTGGATCTGTGCTCCCTCATAGCTTCTCCTGGACCCGCAGATGCTGGCACTGCAGAGACCTTGAAATGTCCTTGACTGTCCTGGCAGTAACTATAAACACCAGTATGTTGTCAGCGTTCTTCTCAGCACAAATCCAAAATACAGCCTTTTACTAGCTACTATGAAGAAAGTTAACTCTGTCCCAGCTGAAACCAGGGCAGCAGGTATGGTTAATAGTGAGACTCTTTAAGTCCTTTATATTTGGCTCAAATCCCTTTTCTAGTTTGTGCTGTTGGGGAAGCACTGTACAGAACCTAAGGGTTCCACTGGAACCTTCTACTATAGCATCTAATATGACAGTGAGCATTTATCAGGTCACCTGTTGTCTGGCACTGCTAAATTCAGCTCTCAACAGAATCAATTTAGGAACTCTGTTCAGATTGCTTTCTTGAGGACTGTCTTATGTTTTGTGAGATGTGAATTAAGCACCTGTTATTAATATAGGTTACAAATGCAATGCAGTATTTGTAGTATCTTTCATTTCAAGCTAGTGACTTTCATCAGTTTTACCATTTTGTATGAGAAAATAATTCCCCTTTTAATATATCATAAACGTTAATTAAACTTTCTTGCACTAAAATACTTTTCAGAATAATTGAATATTGCTTACAGACACTTTCTTCTGGACATTGCCAAACCATTTATTTAAGATAAGAGTTAATAGAAAATCACCCCAGGGGTTTTTTTTTCCTCCTATGAAAATAGTAGTGTATTTTAAAAATGTATTTCAGCTATGTAGTGGTCTGGGTTTTGTGTTTGGTTTTGTTTTGTTTTGTATTGTATTGTGGGTTTTTTTTCTCTTTCTACAAGGAATATTGTGGTGGTTTCTACAAAGATTACTATCTTTGTAACATTTCGCCTTCTCTCTATATATACTCCATATACAGATTTTTTTTGTGTGTGTTTTTTCATTAGATAGCTTTTGGTATTAACTACATAGTCTCCATGGTATTAACTACATAGTCTCCATATTCTTAAATCATACACAATACAATATTAAAACTGGAAAATGAAAAATCTGTGACAGAGAAAACTTGAAAAATAGGAATAAAATGGGAAAGCACACTTGCAGGTACATAAATAAAAAAACCCCAATGAAATGGAAATAATCTACATTTTACTTGTCAAACTTGAGTGTAGCATTTTTAAGAGTTACAGTCATCAAAAATGACCTTTTTATCCTCTGTAGTAATACTAAGAATTAATATTTTTTTTCTTTTTGTTTTCTTCACCTGTTCCTATCAGAGCTAGGATCAAAAAAGAAGTTGTTGCACTTACATGTCAAGAATCATGACATCTGGAGAAAAGTAGAATGCATTATTTCTTGGTGTATTACACAATAAAACTTGTCTGACATTATACAAAGTCTGATATGCTTCCTGATCAGTTGGTTTAATTAAAACAAGATATTCAGTTCTGTGCAATGCCTGCGCATAATCTATTTTAAAGTTTTGAAACATACAGGTGTATAGTGTAAATGGTATTAGATTGGCCTGAATGACTTGTCATTCTATTTGCAGATACCTCAAATCAGCTATGCATCTACAGCTCCAGAACTGAGCGATAACACCAGGTATGACTTCTTCTCTCGAGTGGTCCCACCGGACTCCTACCAAGCTCAGGCCATGGTTGACATTGTGATGGCCCTTGGGTGGAACTACGTGTCGACACTGGCTTCTGAAGGCAACTATGGGGAGAGCGGTGTGGAGGCATTCACCCAGATCTCCAGAGAAATTGGTGCGTGTATATTTATCAGTATTTATAGCTGCCTGGTTATAGAGCATTGCTGAGCTCTGCTGAGCTCTATGCAGTGTGATCAGAACAGCTGCAGGTGTGTTACCTGGACTCAAGTGGAAGGGTTTATGGATGATTTTGCTGCTCACATGTCTGCCAAGGTGACAGTTCTGGCAGTAATTTAAGAAGAGCTCCTGAGAGAGGCAAAAATGTATATCTCTTGCCCCTTTTGGAAAGGGGGAGCTCCTTGATGAGTTAGGGGCAGAAAGCAACCGCAGATGCAAGAGATATAATTTTCCATGTTCCAACAATGGTAATGTTGATGAATTTGAAAAACAATAAAAAGTCTGTGAAGTGCAAAGTTGTTTTTCCTTCAGGATGAAATGTGCTATATATATACAGGCATTATTATAGCAAATATATTTAAGTCCCTTTGATCTTTTTTTTTTTTTTTCCCACACTTCTATAGCTATTTCTGGCTTGAAAAAAATCACTATTTCTCAGGAGCAGTATGTTTTGGACACCAGGGAATAAGATGATGAGTAGCAGGTGGTTTGAAAGAGGGTGGAATTGGTCTTTCACTAACTACAGTGTTAAATGACACAAAATAATATTCTTTAAAAAAAATTGCAAACAGTCTTCCTGGCCTTCCTCAGAAAGCCTGGATTAATCTATCAGATTTGACTTTCAGGGCATGTACATGTGAACTCTGTCTCTTTCAAGTCAACTTGGGTGAGAAAATATGATAATATCTTCCATTTTCAGTAACTGCACATAAATATAAAGACCATCTCAATCATATGAGAAGGTGCATGTATGTCTCGGGTACTTATGCTTGAACCATAAAGGTTACTGATTGCTCAGAACAATTTGTCAATAAGACAAAACCAGAGCAATTCATGCCATTAGGGAACTGGTGTATATAATATGCTCAATTGGTTGACTAATAAATATTATTTTCCTAGCTTCTAATCAATGCTGTCAGATCCTAAACACCTTCATGGGAGAGCCATGGCTGACTACAGCACAATGGTTTGATATGGAGTTAGCAAAGGCGTGGATAATTCTTCCACAGTTCATATCTAAAAGAGATGGTTTGTCTGTTGTGTAAAATACAGCAGTGAATAGATTGGCTGCCCCAGACATTCACTGAGTAGTTTACTGTCTGAAAACCACTCTTTCTTGAAACCAGCTGCAGCCCAGACAGTTCTGCTGAGTCCTGAAAGTAGACAACTAAAGTGCTCAGGACTTTTTTACTGTTTACCATTTCCAGAAATATGAGAATTCTTCAGATGGGTGCAAGAGCAACAACCGTGATTTCATTATAATCACAATGACTTTAGTTTGTGTCAGTTGGATCTTGGTCAACCTTAGAATAAAAAAGAACATTGACATTTGATAAAAAAAAAATGAATATTAATAGGATTAATTAAATAAATATTGTTAATAAGATTGTGAATCCAAAGCAATTAAAATAATGAATGAGTGTCCTAAACATTAAAAGTTATATGTAATACCAAGAAGCATAAAAAGTGTGGTGATTCGTGTTTTTTTCTTTTTCTTTTTTTTCTTTTTTTCTCTCTCTCCAGTGACTTATGTCGTCTACTAGAGCACTTGATTTTGGTAACCTCTGTGCTCAGGGCAACTTACTAACTAATTCAGGTATCAGGGACTTGAATGGTTCTGAAGAAGGAAAGCAGAAGAGAGGCAGGACAGACAAGTAATTTTTAATTCCTAGAAAAATGTTGAAATAAATAATCAGGTAAATCATATGTAACCACAGGGACATGATCAGTAGCCTGTGCAGAATTGTCAAAAGCAAATAGTCTCAAAACCATCTAATAATTTTCTTTGACAGGATAACAGCTTTATAGCTGGAGAAGAAGCACTTGATATCATGTCTCTTGAATTTAGTAGTGTTATCTCAGCTGTCATATACAATATTCTTCTGAGCAAATTTGGGAATTGTGATCTAGGTGAAAATATCACAGGCTGGATGCAGACCTATTTAGAAAATTTTGCTCAGTTACATTAGCAATGTTTTCTGTTTAAAAGGAAGAATGTGTTGTGTGGTATTTGGCAGATGTTTATGCTGGATCAGGTACTTGCCAATATTTTCAGGTTTAGTCCAGATGGACATGGAATGAAGGATATGCTTGTAAAATCTGGAGGTGACTTCAAGCTGGGAAGGACTAGGAGTGTATTGTAAGAGATTCTTAGAGTGCAAAACTGAAGATATGGTCTGAAAAAATACTATGCAATTTAAGATACAAATTCAAGACATTGTGCTTCAGTGAGAAGGATCTGTACTTGATGGTTAGACAACTTGAACACTTCTACTGTTAAGACCGGCTGGGACAGTTGGGGTTGTTCAGCCTGGAGAAGAGAAGGCTCCGGGGAGACCTTATAGCAGCCTTCCAATACCTGAAGGGGGCTACAGGAGAGATGGGGAGGCACTCCTTATCAGGGAGTGTAGTGATAGGATGAGGGATAATGGTTTTAAGCTGAAAGAGGGTAGATTTAGATTAGTTATTACAAATAATCTTTTTCCTGTGCGGGTGATTAGACACTGGAACAGGTTGCCCAGGGAAGTTGTGGATGCCCCATCCCTGGACGTGTTCAAGGCAAGGTTAGATGAGGCTTTGAGCAACCCAGTCCAGTGGAAGCTGTGGCAGGGGGGGCCTGGCACGTACCCCCCCCCCATGGCAGGGAGTTGAAATTAGATGATCTCTAAGGTCTCTTCCAACCCAAACCATTCTATGATTCTACGTACAATGAGGGAATCCAGAAAGACTGGTCAGAAAATACTATCTCAAAAAATAATCTGAGCATGATAGTAAATTATAACCTGCCTATATTCCCCATGTTTACTGGAACATGCAGATGGACATACCATCTGTAAAATAATTTGAGTAATCCTCCAATTTGCCTGGCAGGCATTAAACTGCATTTTGACTCAGTACAGGTTTTGACCCTCTCTTCACAAAAGGCAAGAGACTCCACAAGCGAGAACAAAGGCAATCACAAAGCTTGAAAAGGTGGTCTATGAGGGGCAACTGAGCAAGGTGGTTCATTAGCCTGAAGAAGAGTTGACTGAGAAGGGAAGGTGATGGAAAATAAAGTTTTCAAATAGACAAATGACTTTTATAGAAAGGTAGAGGACCACTTGTTCATCCAGATACAGTGTATGTGAACTGAAGACATAGAATTAATCTCTAGCATGATTCCTTTTAGATTTGGAGAAAGCCACTTTTAAAGGTTAAGACATTAAAGCATCAAACCAGCTTGCTTGGGGACATTTTGGAGCCTCCATTGCTGAGGATCTGGGAGAATGCATTAGAGAAACACCTGCTCAGGGATTATATAAATGTACTTAGCTCTTCCTTGGGGCTGGGAGGTGGATTGGATGATTTCTTAATGTCCCTTCCAGCCTGATTCTATTATCCACTGTCTTCAGACTTTTCACCTGAACCATAGGGCTGGAAATGCTTTTAAAATGGAAAGTTTGAATAGCATCTAATTATGAGGTTTGAGACTAGAGTCTAGGTAGGTTTATAAAAATCATCACATAGTATAAGACTGCACACAAAACAGCAAAATGTACAGCTCTATGTTAATAAACCATGTGTTAAAAGAACCTGATCGGGACATTGCTCACCCTGTGCTGCTGGCATACAAATGCATAGGAGAGCTCAGCTCCTTTCTGAGTACTTTACATCCTGTTTAAGATAAGCAAATCAACTGGAAGTAAAATGAATGTGAAGATAAGCATAATGGTAAGCAATAAATTGAGGAAAAGATGAGAAAGAAATTAATATATTAATTTCTGAAAAAAGTTCGGTGTCTGAGAGGACATATGAGATAGAAGTTTTGAAAATATAAACAGAATAATTGGGTTTTTGGGGGTTCTTTTTTGTGGTTGTTGTTGTTTATTTGTTAGTTTTTTTAAAGTTTCCTCCAGTCAAATAAGAACTAAGAAGGGCTAGGGTTTTAAATATTCTTAAAATAGATTAATTTCATGTACTTATAATTTCAGGTACTTATTTGTCATGTTCTTGACTCTCTGCCTCTAGTTTCTGTTTGATTGGACCTCTGTTAAGCTTCTATTCAGTAACAGAAGCAGAAAAGAAGGGGCAGGCTCCCAAATGAAATGTGGAATACTGAAAAGGTCAAAGTGCTGCCACCCTGACATGTCAGAGAATATATTACATATCAAAATCTGCTCTCATTTTAATGACAAAGATCCTGTCTTGGGCAAAGCATAGCTGGAAATTAAATATTTTACATGACAATGATTGTAAGGAGAGTAGGGGATGGTACTTATTCCAATGCATTCTTCCATGCATTATTGTTTGAAGACGGGGATTAAATATACAGAATTTTCTACTCCCATTACAAAGTTAATCAATGATATCACTATAATAATTTTGGCATCATGATCAAATAATTTTGGTACATTGGCCAGAGGAATTAATTAATACAAAATGATAATGTTTAAGAGTTTAAGCATTGAACTGAGAGAAACCTGACTCACTGAGAGAAAATAAAAAGGGAAAAAAAAGGAAGCATATTTTACAAAGTCCTCATTAAACTGTCATGCTGAATATTGCTCTTCTATTTACTTTGCTGTTAATGATGTTTGGCAAAATAAATGTTGAAAAGTCTCTAATCAGACTTCTTTTAATGGTTCATTCCCCCTGCTATTAGTTACCAAATGAATTTACCACCAGAGAGAAAATCATGGGATTCTTTTCACTTTTCTTACAGAATACAAAAACATTTGGTTTAGAAAAATCTCTTTGGGGTCAGAGTACTTGCTCAGTTAGTGTAATGATGGTTCTGGAAAATATAACAAATGCACAAATAGTATATGTAATGCTGCATGACAGATTTTATCCCCACTAGTGATCCACAGAAAATTGACACATGCACTGATGGGTACCGGCAGTGAAATACTTATGAAATTATCAGAAGAGGAAGTAAAAATGATAAAGAGGTGGGGA